AGCACAGCACCTGAGAATGCTGAACATGTACAGGCTGCAATCAACAAAGATTGGCAACAGACAGTGCAAGAACTAGAAGCTGATCTGGGGATTCTAAAACTATTGTGTTTGAAATTTTGATGCAGGATCTTGGTATAAAACATGTTGTGGCAAAATTCTTTCTGTGGCTTCTGCTACCAGAGCAGAAGGAACATCATGCTGCAGTTCCTAATGACTTGATTCAAACTACTACCAATGAACCAAATTTCCTCAAGAAATGAGATGAATCATAGGCCTATGGCTATGATCCAGAAACAAAGGCCCAGTTATCCCAATGGAAGTCACCTGGTTCTTCACACCTGAAGAAAGTGCAGCAAAGTCTCAGCAAGATCAAGACCATGTTAACTGTGTTTTTTGATTGGGAAGGTGTTGTTCACCACAAGTTCACCCCTCCAGGCCAAACAATTAATAAGGAGGACTACATCAAGGTTCTTCATTGGTTGAGAGATGCAATACAAGGAAAATGGCCACAGCTATGGGCAACTGGTGATTGGCAGCTTCATCACAACACACCCACTCATTCATCACGTTTTGTGCAGAGTTTTTTGGTGAAACATCAAATCACCCAGATAACTCAACCCTGCTACCACCCAGATTTGGGGCCCTGTGATTTCTGGCTTTTTCCAAAACTAAAATCACCTTTGAAAGGGAAGAGACTTCAGACTGTCAATGAAATTCAAGACACTACAATGGGGCAGATTCCAACAAAGGATTTTGCAGTATTTTGAAGAGTAGAAGAGATGTTGGGACAACTGTGTGAAGTCCCAAGTGCCTACTTTGAAGGGGACCAAAGTGTCATTGTCCTTTCTTGTATCTTGTTTCTTCTTCATTAAGTGACTCCATTTTTCATAGCACATGGCTAGATATTTTCTGGACAGATTTTGTATATATATTTATATTTAATACTCACCTGAGGACATGCTTATTGATTTTAGAGAAAGGGGAAAGGACAGAGTGAGGGAGAGAAACATCAGTGTGAGAGACAAACATCAATCAATTGCCTCTCATATGCACCCTGACTAGGGACCAAACCTGCAACCTGGGCATGTGGCCTGGCTGAAAATAGATCCCATAGCCTTTTGGTTTACAGACAATGCTCCAACCAACAGAACCATCAGGCCAGGGCCATCCATAGATATTTTTAAAACTTCATGCTGAAATTTACAGTTTAAACTATCACAAAGCTAAAGTGACAGTATGTTCTTTCCAATTCCTAAACATATAGAGATTGTGATCTGGTTTGCACATGGAAACAGAAGTGTCAGATGAGGTTGGCCAAGACACACGCACTCCCCAGAATCTCTGGAAGACTTAATCTCTCTCACTTTGACAGCAAAAGATATCAGAATGGAATTTCTTTTTTTAAAAGGTATTTATTTTTTATTGTTCAATCACAGTTGTCCTAGAATGGAATTTCTTGCTGAACAAAAAATTGAGAGACCCTATACAGCAAGAATCAGGTTTTTGCATTTACAAAATCACAATATAATTATATATTCAAATTTGTCTGTTCACATTATGCCAGAAGATTTGTCTCATAACTGAATTAAGCAGCCTTGTACAGCTCTGCAGATAATGAAGATAATATTACCACGTATCTGGGCCCAACATATTTCACTAAAACTTCCCTCTTAACTATATGAACCCAACAATTCTACTTCTGGGTATTTATCTGAAGAAATCCAAAACACTAATTTGAAAATATGTATGCACCCCCATGTTCACTGTGCAGCATTATTCACAATGATCGAGATAAGGAGGCAACCTAAGTGTCCATTGGTAGACAAATGGGTAAAGAAGATGTGGCAAATATACAGGGTCTGGCACAAATAACACCCCTTTTTATGAGATGGTAATCTAGACCAATTCTTATATTACAAAATCATAAGCATGTAATTCTATAACATAACAATAACATGCTCAAGCACAGCATATGACATTTTAGGTGAAATTTTCAAATTGCTGCCCATCTCGTGTAAGATATTCGTGTACCCTACCAACCACACTGAATGGTGTTATTTCTGCTGGGCTTTGCATACAATGAAATATTACTTGGCCATAAAAAAGAGTGAAATTTTACCATATGCAACAACATAGATGGACTTAGAGGGTATGATGGTGAATGATAGCATCAGACAGAGACAAACACCATATGATTTCATTCATGTGTGGAATCTAAAAGACAATGAACAACTAAACAGAATGGAAACAAACTCACAGATCCAGAGAACAAACTGATGGAGAAGAGTTAGGGGCTGAGAGGAAAAGGTAAAGAGATCAAGAAATACAAGTTGGCAGTTATAAAATAATCATGAGGTACAACACAGGGAAATATACTATATCACCTAGTAACAACGAGATATGGTGGCAGATGGGTGCCAGCCTTATCAGGGGAAATTGCCTCAGAAGTTATGTCACGTTCTAACCACCGTGCTGTACACCTGAAACTAATACAATATTGAATATCAACTGTAACTTTTAAAAAATTTAAAAGCAAAATATAAATAGAGGAAAGGGGGAAATATTATTCCACATTTTTGCCATCTCAATTTTTAAAAAATATTTCCCTCTTAGAAAAAAACTTAGCCTTGTTACTCTGAAAGCTGATATAAAATGTGTAACCATGTAAAAGCCCTATAACATGTCATTTGCCTTCCCTTATTTGCTGTATACTCCTCAGTGCCCATTCTTCTCACCCCAGGCCTGGCACAAAGTAAGAGCTCAAAACACACTTGAACAAATGATATATTTCTTGGCTGAACAGTGAAGTTGTAAAATAACATTTCTTAGGAGGAGGGACAGGAGACTCCAAACTTAAGCCTGAAGACAGGACATGGTGAACAAGAGCAAAGCAAGCAGCAGAGTAGCCGGAAACCCATGGTAAAGGCCAGCTATGATGCCCAAGAGGAAGCATGTGGTTTCCTGAATTGTACCCATTCCAAACCATCGACATGTATATATATATGTGTTGTGTGTGTGTGTGTGTGTGTGTGTGTGTGTGTGTGTGTGTATCAGGGATCCACAGCTGGCCCTTCAGTCACATTTTGGAGTGATTTGGAAAAGGTTATTTACAGTCCTGGGCTCCTCTCTCCCTGTTCATTGCTTTTGGAAGGAGGATGGGAGAGGAGGCAGCTGTAACAGAAAAATAAGGCTGCAGAGAACTGGAGTGGGTACACTTCAGAGAACACCACTTACAATGTCCTTAGAGGAGGATTCTTAACCTCCAGTCATTGGGCCTCCTCTGGGTACTACAGTGGTATTTCAGGGAACTCCGAACACCCTGTGGTTGGTTTAAGCTGTGAGTGTGTGTGTGTGTACATCTGGTGAGGAGATCTCAGATTGCATCACATTCTTGTGCCTTTTGGTTATAGGACCTTCTCTTTCTTTTACTTCATCAGCTCAAGTAAGGCTCTTCTAAATCCATATTATTCCTTAGGGGCTGGAGGGAGCAGCGAAAGGTGGGGATGGGAGAGAAACAATGGAAGACAAGGGCACTAACTGTGTGGAAAGCTTTCTATTAATTGAGTGAATAGGTGAGAAAGGATTAGAGAATACCCAGCATATAGAAGGGCCTATAAACGTTCACTCTTATTATTATTATTACTATGTCAAATGCTTTGCACTTTCTAAACTTCACAATTACACAATGAGGTCAGCTTAAGTCCCATTTCCTATCTATGAGGAAACAAATGGAGGGACTGAGTCAGGTCACACAGCTAGTGGTCAAGTTCAGAACTATCTAATTTCAAAGTTTGGACTCTTTGTCTCCACCCCATGGCTAGAATTACTGGCCAGGCTTTCCATCTGGAGGCAGCCTCCCTGACCACCCTTAAGCTTTCACCTCCAAAGCTCAAGGGTCTTGCTCTCTCCCTGAGTCTGTCCTATCAGAACAGGCACTGAGCCTCAAAATTAGCTTCTTCAAGCCAAGGCATTATCTACTTGATCATGTACTATACAGCCCCAGTTATCCCACTCACACACAAAACTAGTTTCTTTCCCAGAGTATCAAGTGAAATAACTAAAGAAATAAATTACAGTTATCACATTAAACTCCCTTCCCTCTATGAGGCAGCCAAGTCGAAGGCCAAAAGGGAAAAAAGGTTGTCTAGTAATCACAAACCAGAGTGAGGAAGCTCTGTATCAAGTCTCCTATTTTCCAGTTTCAAAAATCCAAGCTAAAAGCTGCAGTTAAATAGCAGCTACTAAAACAGCCTTGCTAAAACATCCTCACAATTGCATTGTGCCAAGCAAGTCTTATGTGTCTGCACTTTCCATGTTATCCCTATGTCACAAAAGAGCCACGCAGGCTGGCTAGATATTACTTCTTGAGAGGTTAAGTCCCTCAGGGTCACACAGGCAGTGAGTGGCAGAACTAAGACTTGAACTCAAGTCTATCTTATGACAGCATCAATGCTCTTAACCATACTCTTCCCACCATATCTACACAACCACTGCGATGCATGGTACCCAGGGCGAACATCTCCCTTGATATTCCCTGCAGCCACTTGCCCAAGTCTGGCCAAACTCTTGGGAGGAGAAGCCAAGACAGATGAACTCTTTCAGTAGAAGATCAGTGTTCTAGGTCTAGCTTTGCCGCTTATTAGCTTGGTTACCTTGGGCGGATCACTTAACCTCCCAAAGACTCAGTTTCCTCACCTGTGCAATGAAGATCAACGTTCATTGGGACACGGATCTATAAGAGAATTCGAGCTAAGGCTTAAGTGTTATGCAAATGTTACCCACCCCTCCTTAACCCACCAATTCAAACACTAAGTGGTAGCCCCTTCTCAGCCTCTCCCCTGCCTTCACCTTCAGCGTTCTTCTGGGCCGCCGCCGCCGCCCACATCCCTCCTCCCTAGTAGCTGCTGCTGCTTAATTTCCCCTCCATTTTAGTCATCCTCTTGCCTTGCTGAAAGAACTGGCCGGGGGTACTTGGTCAGGACCCCAAGAGTGAAGGCCAGGCTCTTCGCTTGGCTGCGGTTGCTCCGTGCTCCGCTCTGCCAGCGCCGGGTGCACAGCGGGCCACCCGTCCCGCCCCTCGGGGAGGGGTGTGACCCGAGAGTTAGATAGGAGGTGCCTGCAGTCGGGGAACCCGGTGGCCCGCGGAGCTTCCTCTGTGACACAGCCTCTCCTCCCGAGGCGCACCCGGAGTGGTGGGGGTCTTCTCGGGCACCGGGACGCCGGAGCCCTGGCCCTCCCACAGCCCCGACTCTGGCCCGCCGCGCTGCCCACCATGAAGCCGACGTTCTACCGCTGCCAAAACACCACTTCGGTGGAGAAAGATCACTCGGCGACGATGGGCTGGGTGCTCTTCAGCGCGGGCCTCCTGGGCAACCTGCTGGCCCTGGGGCTGCTGGCGCGCTCGGGGCTGGGGTCGTGCCCGCTGCGCTCGCCGCGCCAGGCGCCTTCGGTCTTCTATGTGCTTGTGTGTGGCCTGACCATCACCGACTTGCTTGGCAAGTGCCTCTTGAGCCCCGTCGTGCTGGCAGCCTACGCGCAGAACCGGAGCCTGTGGGGACTGGTGTCCACGCCTGGCAACTCTCTGTGCCAAGCCTTCGCCTTTAGTATGTCTTTCTTCGGCCTCGCCTCGACGCTGCAGCTCCTGGCCATGGCCCTGGAGTGTTGGCTATCCCTGGGACACCCCTTCTTCTACCGACAGTACATCACCCTCCGCCGGGGGGTGCTGGTGGCCCCCGTCGTGAGCACCTTCTCCTTGGCTTTCTGCGCGCTGCCCTTCGCAGGCTTCGGAAAGTTCGTACAGTACTGCCCCGGCACTTGGTGCTTCATCCAGATGGCCCACGAGGAGCGCTCGCCGTCGGTGCTGGGCTACTCAGTGCTGTATGCCAGCATCCTGGCGCTGCTGGTCCTCGCCATTGTGCTGTGCAACCTGAGCGCCATGCGCAACCTCTACGCGATGCACCGGCGGCTGCAGCGCCAGCGCTCGGTCGCCAGGGATCACGTGGAACTCAGCGCCGGCAAAAGGGAGGCGTCCCCGCCGCCCCTGGAGGAGCTGGATCACCTCCTGCTGCTGGCCCTCATGACCGTGCTCTTCACCATGTGCTCCCTGCCTTTAACTGTGAGTCTCTCCTTGTCAAGGCTGCGGGGGACTGGAGCGGGTGCGGGGCAGGATGGGTGGAGCGTTTTGGAAGTGGTGCAAGAGACGCAGCGCCCAGGGCCAGGAGGGTTTGTTGCTGCGCTCCCCACATCAGGTTCCCTCCCTCCTCAGCCCCAGGAGGTAAAACCCAATTTGTTGAGAAAGAAGAGGGAAAGTCAAAGAAAGCAAGGGAAAAACCGAGTCCGACCGTATACCGTAGTCCCGCGAAACCTGTCCAGTTGGCACGACCCCCTCCTCTCTGCTTCCCTCTGCGAAATAGGAGTTACTTTTGCGATTCAGAACCTTCAGGAACAGAACTTGGTTTCTCCTTGGCAAAAAGAGTCCTCTCCTACTTCTCTATGATTAGTTAATGTTTTATTTTAGTGATGTCAGAAATAGTCGAATGGAATCTGGGAGTTCTCCCACATTTTGGCATGAAAAGGGAATGAGGGAAGGTGTGAACCTGCCGGAAGGTGGTTTGCAGAGGTGAGTGACTAAAAGCATAAGTTTAGTTTTTCCGAAACTCCTACGTAAATTTTGAGGAGTCTGGATGCTGTTTCTGGTGCTGCTGCCGAGGACAGTGGTGGTGACAGAGGCGGAGAGGCACAGAGGCGGGGAGGCTGTTTGGACAGACAGGTGTGGAAGTACGATTCAGCCACAGGTGTTTTGATAACCTGCCTCGACAGGTTGGTTTTGTTTCTGACTTGGCAAGTGAGGTGACATGGAAGCCATTATCTGGGGTTTCAATGTACTAATAAGGATGGTTGTGGAGATTGAATTACCTCGTCCTTGGGAAAATATTTCCTCCTGCAGTCCCCATCAAGACACCTACCAGTGTGGCTGAGGCTGGAGAAAACTTTTTCAATATTACACCTCTCCCTCCCCCCCACCCCGTACTTGTTCAACATGAGAACGTTTAAACAAATGCATTGCCAATTCAAGGTCTTTGGAGTCTTGAGACTTCTGTGAATAGGAAAGCTAAGTTTCTTATGGCAATGTAGCAATTTTGGATATTACTTTCAAGGGTGGATGCAAGTGAAATATAATGTGACTTTCCATTGAATGAAGTCTTTAATGTGGTGGTCGTGGTGGGGTTGTCTGCACCTTCATCATGCAGAGTTAGCATCAGAGCTCCCAAAAATAAAGAAGTAAATCTATATCTATATAAATAGATATGGATATAGGTATAGCTATTTAGTAGTGGTTCTCAAATTTTACTACACTCAGAATCATCAGCAGGACTTTTAAAAACATAGATGGCTGTGCCCCATTCCCCAGAGTTTCCAATTCAGGTACTTTTTGAAGAATTCTCATCCTTAACAAGTCCCCAGATGAGGGGGAAGCTGCTGATCAAGAGATCCCATCTGGAGAACCACACTCTGAAGCAGGAGCTGGCCAGCTGCAGCCCGCAGGCCAAGCCCATCCTGCCTGCTGTAAAAACAGTCACGGAATAAAGAGCAGCTTTTACAAACAAACATGTGCATTCAATTTGATAATAGACACACAAACTACGAACCCCAATTAAGCCAAATATTATTCCAAGGGGAAAAAAAGAATTTTATTCTTCTCCTTAGTACACATGTATTACCAAAAAAAAACCCCATTATTATTATTACATTTTGAATTTCATCAATAAAAGTTGTGGAACTGTGTTTTTCTCCTCGTGAAAGTATCCACCAAACATTCACTTTTTGCTTCTTAGCTAGTAAAATGGGAAGCATTTACTGCCCAGGCCTTTCGAGACCATGTTTGCAGACCCCGGCTCTGAAGCGATGGCCTGACCGACTTGTGCTGTGACCCAAGCAGACAATGGCCGACTGCGGGGTCCTGAGTCCTGAGTTTGAATGCTTTAGGAAGAACAATGCATGAAGAAGCATAATACAGTAGAAAGAGTATTGCATTGGGACACATCTCTAAGGGGAGTAAATAACTCAGACAGGATTGTGAGAATTGGAGGAAATAATGGGTTTGCAAATGATTTCCTAAAAACCATGTGAAGTTCCAAGGAGGTGGAATGCAGGCAGCATTCTCCACAGAAACTTGTTTACTGGAAAGACAAGGGAGTCAGCATAAGACCTGGTTTTGACTCCTGCTGCATCACTTACCAGCTACAATCGCAGCTTATTTACCTTTTGTAACCACAATTTCTCTCAGATGAGGGTAATCATACTTGCTCTGTAAGACAGTTGTAAAGATCTGAATGAAAAAAATGTATATATATGTAATATCCTAGCCAGGTACTTGACCTAAAAAATTAGTGTCACTATTATCATTGATCATTATTTCCATTTATCATTATTGCCCGCGAGACATAGAAAATGAAGAAACATGGTGTCCCCAGAGGATAGCATTGTATTCTAAGGCAGTGGCTCTCAAACTTGCTTTAATCTGAGGACCACTTTTTACTATTAAAAATTATTAAGGACCCAAAGAACTTTAGTTTATGTGAATTTTGTGTATCAGTATTTATCATAATAGAAATTAAAAGCCCTGGCTGGCATAGCTCAGTGGATTGAGCGCGGGCTGGGAACCAAAGTGTCCCAGGTTCAATTCCCAGCCAGGATACATTCCTGGGTTGCAGGGCAGAACCTCCAGCAACCGCACATTGATGTTTCTCTCTCTCTATCTCCCTCCCTTCCCTCTCTAAAAATAAAATAAATAAAATCTTAAAAAAAATAACTTCTTTAAAAAAAGAAATTAAAAATAATAAAATTTTAAAAATATTATTGCAAAACAAATGTTAACCAAATATAATTCTTGTATTTTTGCAAAGGTGTCAGGAAAACTCTGGGATTTCAAAAATTATTAAGTGAATGATATTAAAATACAGAGATTATGTCAGGCAAAACAGAAGAAAAACATGTTTAGGATACAGAAGTACTGAGAACAGTCTTTGAAAATGCACATATGTATTTCCTAAACCACTACCTTGGGAAGGTCTAGAAAACACAAGAATACAAAAGCACACATTCTGTTAGCCACAGCAGTGATGATATCATCACACATCAGATAACTTCCCTAGAACTCACTGCACACCTATGAGAAGGTGAAAGTTAAAGAGGCAAAGAATGTCTTTTTATGAAGATAATTTTGACCCTACCGACACACTGACAGGGTAGTGGAAACCTCTACACTTTCAAACTCACCCTTCAATGAATGGATTTAGTGAGGGGGAGAAAAACTTTTTTAAAAAACCTTATTCATAGCATAAATATTGTATTTCATTAAGCTGGTGAGAAGTTTTTTGGAGTATGATTTTTTAAAATTAACTTTGCTGTAATGCTGAATTAGAGCACAATACTTAACCCGATTTAATTTTCAAATTTCCAATTTGACACAGTAGGAAGAAAGTGTAGTGAACATGGGATGAGCTTTACAGGAAGTTCGTGCCACATTCTCCAATGTGGATAACATATTTTCATCAAAATTACTTTTACCATAGAAAACCACAATGTATTGCAGGTTGGTAATGAGCAGGGGTGGATGAGAGAGAACATTCATGTATAGTTTAGTTGAATCTATTGAATCTATACATCTCTTCATGTATAGAAGAATTGAGCGGTCTAGAAGGCAGGAGAAGATAAGTAATTGCGTATATCAAAGTCCATGGAGTCAGAGAAGTGCTAGGGGACACCCTGTATGTATTGAGATAACTCTGTGCATGTGTGTGTGTTTCATTTTGATGCATAAAGAATGGGTGGGATACTCCTTCCAAAGGAGGCTGTTTAGAGACATGCAAGGAATGGGAGGCAAAAGATGGGCCCAGGGGAAAGGATCAGAAGTGGATTGAAAGGGCTAGAGCAGAGGACAGAGTATTGCGATGGCTGGGCTGGATAGACGAGGACTTCAGAATTGAGGGAGCTCTCCAAAACCGGAATATTCAGACAGGAGAGGGCTCCAGAGGTGGCAACAGCAACATTTTCTCGAGGACTCCTAATTCCAACAGAGGGCGCTCTACTCACACTGATTCTCTGTGTAAATCCACCTTCCTAAAAATTGCCGGGTTCAAATTATGATGTTATTATCTTAGCCTCTTTAATAGAAGCAGTTTATAAAGTATATTCTGGATAATACTATTGGTGAACAGAATTTTTTTCAAGAGCCTAAATTGAGTTCAAATTTATATTTTTTAAGAATTAACAGAATATGTACTTTGATCACTGTCATAAATGTCATATTTTTAGTAAACTCAAAATATAAAAATAAATAAATTACATTAAATTAAAAGTCCATATGTAGATCAATACATTTCTATTACAAATCAGGTAACTTGAAAATACAATTAACCTAATAATATACAATAGGATTGGCTTGGACAAAAACTGCTTAAAAATAAAGTGATTTGTTTTAATTACACAAGTACCATGAACTTATCCGGATCCCAGCTAGTCAGGTATTTTAAAATAGTTAGAATTACATTTGGCTGCACTGAACTTTGAGGAGAAAGGAGCAAATATCAAGACAAACTCATATTTGCTTTTTCATATTCACATTTGCTTTTTAAATCAACTAATGCACATAGCTTATTGTCATCCATTTACCCATAAAACACGTATTTATTACCTACCACATTCAAAACACTGTAAGTCACTGTGGGGATATAAAATAAAAAAAAACACACATCTTGCCACATAAGCTATCATATTGGAGTGGGAGGGAATGATTAGGCCCATAAGGGAGTTTAGAGAAGGAAAGGAGTCACTCCTAACTGACAAAATAATAATAGCTAATTATTGAGTGGTCATTATATGCTAGGACCTATTGTAAAGGTTTTACTCATATTATCTTAAATTTCATAACAATCCTGGAAGATAAGTACAATTATACCCATTATATAGATGAGGAGGTGGAATAAATTGCCCCAAGCCACACAGCCAAGAGGACTCTGTGTAACCCAGAGAATCAGAATCTGAAGCTGATATGCTCAGCCACTACTTTACTGGGGTTTCCTGAGTGGGGTAATGTTTGAGGTTGACCCTGAAAGGAGGTAGGATTGGGGCATACAATCAAATTCCACATTTGTAAAACGGAGACAATGGTTGTACTTCCTTCATTTTTTGTGGGGATTTTTGTGAGGATGAAATGCAATTTCCAGCCCTGGCTGATGTGGTTCAGTGGATTGAGTGCTGGCCTGTGAACCAAAGGGTCATTAGTTTGATTCCCAGTCAGCGAGCATGCCTGGGTTGCAGGCCAGGTGCCCAGCAGGGGTCTCGAGAATGGCAACCACATATTGATGTTTCTCTCCTTCTCTCCCTCCCTTCCTCTCTGTCTAAAAATAAATAACATGTTTTTTTAAAAAAGTGGAAAAAAAAAAGAAATGAAGTTTCTAAAGTAAAATTCTTAGAACAGAGCTTGGGAACATGGGCATTAGATTATCAGTAGTAGTATTAGTATTAGTATTATTAAGTAATGATAATGGGAGAGCGCTTCCAGTTAAGGTATGTCTTCCTAAGTGCACTAGATGGGAGTAGCTGAGCCTGCTGAAGTGCTCTGTGGAAAACAGAATAACAAGGTAAGGCAACAATTACTATGAGAAAGCACATCTCCAGCAGATATTTCTTGATTGTCCTAAGTGAGTTTGGTCTGTGTACTTATTCATATCCCCTCCCACTAATGTTAAGTTTGCATATTTTCTGCCCCATTAGGGTCCATTTTGTCTCATTATGGATTTAGACTCTCAGTAGGCACAGGGAATATAATCACATCAAGAAAAAGTGGCTGGCCTCCAATGGAGTGGGAGGCAGTGGTAGGGCTGGGCTGGGCAGCAGTGTTGGCTGGATGGCAGGAAAAGCCATGAGATAAGGCAGTTCCCAGGGCTCTGCGGGGGGCCACAGAGACTTCAGGGGGGATCTAGACAAGAGGAGTGACTGGGCATAGGTAAGTAGGCTTATATTTCCATGCGTGTTTTTTCCCCTAGCCTGAAAAAGGGTGACGACCACAGAAAGGTAACCATCTACGCGGAGAATAAGTAGAGTAATTTACATGAGTTGAACAGGTCCTTTTGAAAGTCTCTTGTCTTTTCATTGGAGTATTTCCTGTCTCTTCCTGTCCACAAAAAGCTGCTGTTTCATTAATGTCTCCATACATGTGATTTATTTCTGGGCTAATAAGAGAATGGGAAGCAGGTAGAAGAAAAAAAGGAGAACTGAAGAGAATATGGAAAGATAATCTCAGTATTTATGGAAGTGGTGACCCTGTTTGTGAAGGATTCCGTGGACTGAATTAGTCCCACCTCAGCTCCCTCTGCAGGGCCAAACGGGGACCTGGAAGCTTCAGTGCCCACAGCAGGTAGAACAGCCTCCAGGGACTTCCAGGGGGGTTCCCAGGAGTCCCCCACTTCCACTGAGCCTCCCAGCTCAGGTCTGCACCTTCCAGGCCCCTCACTTGCACCCAACTGCTGCAGCAGCCTTAGGTGCTTATACAAAAAATGAGTATTCCAAGTTAAGCTGCCATGTTCTTACAGAAAAGTAATGTGTCCTAAGTGAAGTAAGAGAATGTATTGTTTCCATCAACCTTTCAACATTATAGTGAATTGTTTTTTCTTTAAAACAGTATCGTGCTTACTATGGAGCATTTAAAGCTGTCCCCCAGCATGGAACCTCTGAAGAAGTGGAAGACCTCCGCGCCTTGCGTATTATATCTGTGATCTCAATTGTGGACCCTTGGATTTTCATCATTTTCAGAACCTCTGTTTTTCGGATGTTTTTTCACAAGATTTTCATCAGGCCTCTGAGGTATAGAAATTGGCATAGCAATTCCTGCCAAAATGACATGGAATCCAGTCTGTGACAATGCTTTACAGTCTCTGGTAAGCTGAGAAATGTATCACATTTTCTCTCAAAGAACCATGATTTTCAAACATTTTTTAAAAATCCTTACAATGTAAATCCTTAAAAGTTATCTCCCATAACAAAACATCTAAATGTATTTTCAAAAGTTTTTGATATCTTAGCAAGGTATTGTCACTCTATATTCATGAACCACTTAGGTACATTTTTTTCATTTCAAGGTATTAAAAACAACTAAAATTTCATATATTTTAAATGCTGTTAAAAAGTCTTAAAGCAACAATATTAATTTGGTGATTTTCAATCTTTTTCATCTCATGATGCACACAAACTAATTACTAAAATTCTGCAGCACACCAAAAAATGTCTTTTTCCCAATCTGACAAAAAAATAGGTATAATTTTGATTCATTCACACTGAACAGCTATTGTTGTGTTGGCTGCTGTCTTTTTTTTTTCAAACAATCTAAAGGAAAAGAGGTCAGTTCCACTGACTAAATAGTCAGGTGTGGCATGTTTTAAAAATTTTCACAACATGACCCTGTGTCTCCTGAGGCAGGCCAGTTGAATATTGCCCTAGTCATTGTTCCAACATTTGTACTTGATGTCCCTAATGTTTTAGAGAGGTCTTGCTACTTCTGGGTCTTTTTTTAAATCTAGTAGAAACATGACTGTTTATAATTATAGGATGAGTGTTCTTAAAATTTCTTCTTATTCTAGTGAAAGCTGATTTGTTTATGTTTTATTAAAATTTAATTTTCTTTGCCAAATGATCTAAGCATGCCTGAAGTATAAACACCCCTCAGAGAAATGAGGTGTGAAATACAGCCAAGTCAGGGATGTGGGTGGGCCTCCCCTGATGTGGTCAGGAGGTGTCACTGAGTCACAGGGAGAGGCAAAGCTGTAAATAAGCAGACATAAGGCATGATGTGGCTATGCCCACCACCCAGAGAAGATAAATTTTTATCTTTCAAAGTCCAGGTTCCTATGCATTGAGGCAAAGATATCAGTAGGTATCAAAATTTGGGAGTGGTTATAAAATATTGTTTCAATTTTTGGCACCTTCATTTTATAGGTTTACCAGATTAATGGATTTGAGGGAAAAGGGTTTATGCTTCCTGGAAGACAGTGATGGGCGATTTAACCAGAGAGCAGTGTTTACTACCTGTGGCTGTGTGAAGCAGCAGGGAACTCAGCACAGGGAAAAGCCCGCCCAGGACTCAGTCAGCCTTTGTTGAGGGCGATGGCAATGACCTTCACATCTTCCTATTAACAGCCACATTCTGCTCTTTACGGAGACAGTGAGATCTTATTGAGGTTCCGGAGAGCTATGCACATTTAAAACTGGAGCAGGATGGGCTCAGATGAAGCACAACTGAGCACTTTAATTGTACATTTAAATGTTTACAAAGGTTAGCAACACTATGACCAAAAGGAAAAAGTGGGGAAAACACAGCTGCAGCTGTTAAACCAAACCAGAGACTCTAAACCCAGCATGCAGGTGAAAACTTTTACCTTTGGTGAAAGAACAGACGGGGACCACTGGCGGGGTTGCAGCATGCCCAGAGTCCCTTTGCACCCTGACACACGCAGACTCTGCAAGGGAAAGCCGGCTACATTTGAGCAAACCTGAGACCCCCCACTCAGCCATCCCTTTCAAAGACAAGAGTATCTGCCTGTTGCCAGCTTAGCAGCAACCCCATCTTCATCTCAGGTTTACATCAGGGATGGCGTTAACCTGGACGCGTGTGTGTATGTGTGTGTTGTTTTTTTTAATTATATATATATATATATTTAGACACTATTTTTTAAATTAAATTTATTAAGATATGTGTGTTTGTATAGCAACACTGTGAAATGGCCAAATTAGGAATATATGAGTTATAATTTGAGAATATGATATGATGAAAAATGCAGTCATTTTTAAAGTTTAATTTTCATCTGTATATTTAATGTGTAAGTAAATATGTGTTTTATTGTCAGAGGAAGTATATTTTTTTGTCTTCTCCTTTTGGAAGGTGTGTTATGATAATTGTCAAGGTAATTTGAAAAGGTCCCAGACAAATCAATAAACAGAACTTTATAATATTTTGCAGAGGTAATTATTTTTCTTCAAAAAAAGGGTTTAGTTTTCTTTTTTGAATAAATAGTTCCAGCAGCATTTCATTCTCTGGCAGCTTAATAGGCTGTTTTACAAGCATTTATATTACTTCAATCAAGTCAACATAGGTTTATCCAAGGACTTAATGGTCCTTTCTCTTTAACACAAAATATAGATATGCTATCCTGATGAAACTCATGGTAAGTTAAAAACTCAGCTATTCACTGATCTTCACCAATTGATTCATTAGCTCATTAAGTAAGTCTTAATTGACACATACATTGTGCCCGGCAGTGGGTTGGGTGCTGAGGAAAGGAAGACACAAACTCGGAGCTGGCCTGTGCACAGTGGGGGAGACAGGCACTAAACAGTTATGGTGGGGGATAGAAACCCCAGCAGTGAATGTGCACGCAGTCCTGTTAGAAGAGGAGAGGCTTCGACCAGGGGTGAGTGGAGCACTGTCAGAATTTCTCAGGGAGAAGACTCTTAAGTATTTAAAATGAGTAAGAATTTTGACTTCAGTTGAACACTGGACAAAAGATATAAAGATAGGACTTACATAAGAGGAAATACGTATGGTTAATAAGTGTAGGAAAATTTCCTGCCTAATCATAAAACTGCAAAATTAAAATCAAATTCTCAAAGACCAAACAAAAAAGAGAAGGTATGACTCTCAAAAACTGAGGCCGTTACTAAGTTAGCACAGCATGAATATTCCCCTGGTGAGTTTCTAAATGTGTCCACCCTGTCTTGACAGCAACCTGACAGTGTAGATCAAGAGCCTAAAAGTGTTTTCTAGTGTTTCAGCAACCCCACTTTAGCATTCTCTCCCAGAAAATAATCAGAGGGGCTAACATAGTTACACACAAACCTCTTCTTTGCAGCATTATATATAATAGCACAAAAAAATGAAACCATCTAAATGATGAAAACAAGAATTAAACAAACTCTTTGGATATATATATATACGCACCCCAAAATATATGAAAATTATGCAGCCATTAAAATATTTTCAATTGCGGCCCTGGCTGGCATAGCTCAGTGGATTGAGCACGGGCTGCGAACCAAAGCATCGCAGGTTCGCTTCCCAATCAGGGCACATGCCTGGGTTGCAGGCCATGGCCCCCAGCAAGCGCACACTGATGTTTCTCTCTCTCTCTCTCTCTTTCTCCCTCCCTTACCTCTCTAGAAAGAAAGAAATAAAATCTTTTAAAAAATGTTTTCAATTGCTTCTCCCCTTTTGGCTAAGATCAAGTGTAAAGTCTTTTCAAATAATTTATTAAAAATACAAAGAAAGCTTACAATGTAACAGTAGGTAAAAAAAAGCATGAGACAAACTGAATATAATCCATAAATATATATGCACAGGAAATCTCAGTATTTCCTGTGCATATACCTTGAAAAAATATGTCAAAATGTGAACCACAGTTACTTTTTTATGGACATTTTTTACATAATTCTTTGCATTTTCCAAGTTTTAAAATATTAAGTCCATATTTTTTTAAGATTTTATTTATTTATTTTTAGAGGGGGAAGGGGTGGAGAAAGAGAGAGGGAGAAATATTAATGTGTGGTTGCCTCTCACATGCCCCCTACTGGGGACCTGGCCCACAACCCAGGCATGTGCCCTACAGGGAATCAAACTGGCAACGCTTTGGTTTGCAGGCCAGCACTCAATCCACTGAGCCACACCAGCCAGGGTTCATGTCCATATATCTTTTACATGAAATTATTTTTTATCTTCCCCCCTCCTACCTCCCCCTGGCAATTATTTTTTAAAAGAATGAATAGAAATGGAGGGACCAAGCAAAGGGGAAAAGGCATGGAGGAAATCTTTTCTGGTCTAAAGAATGGTGTATGCCAAGCCACACAAGCATAAAGGCGTGGGGCATGTCTGGGTTCTGTTAGTAGCTCCCTTGTCAGAACTTTGGGAATTATGAGCAAAGGTGGCTAGAAAAAAAAAGCTGAAAATAAAGGCATGTTTCATATGGCAAAGGGTATTGGGTGTAGGGGTGAAGGGCTGGAGCTCTATGAGGCCTGGATACTCACTGGAGACTTTGAAGCCAGGGTGCTACAGAATGGAGTTGGAGGAAGATCATCCTGGTGGCATGGATTGTGGACGGGCAGGGTGGGGCACCAGCTGGGTGAGCACAGGTATGCTGGGCCCCATGCAGCCATGCACTGAGCGCACTAGACCAGGGTGCCTGCTAAACAAGTGAGTGGGGACTGAAGGGCAGTCCCAGCCCTGTTTTCCTGGCACCAGCTCAGAGGACAGGGCCACTTCTTATGATCTTTCTATTTGTAGGGGCACAAAGACACCCTATATGCAGGCCCAGGAGTACCCTCCTGCAAGGGAGGGAAAGAGGTGAGGAGCTGCTGAATTCAAGCAGTGGAGAGGGAGGGAGAGATGGATCGCACAGCTTTTTGGTAGGCGGGCTGATGAGAAGGGTTCCAACTTAGCATGACTCAGTCATGCCTTTCGGTCTTCCAGTTGCATACATTTGACCATTTTCTGCTTCTTAGTTTCAAAGTTTCAATATATTTAGGAACAAGATAAGCAAAGGAAAAATTCTGAAAAACTCTTTCTTTCTTTCTTTCTTTCTTTCTTTTAACATTTGTAGTGTATCTGGACAAAAGATTGCAGCACTGAATCCAGTGAAGTCAGTTTCTGGGTTATATCTAGATTTTAATTATATACTTCCCAGCCAAGTTCATAGAGGGCCAACTAGAATGTTCTTTTTGTTCATAAATCCATCAAAGGCTGACTGGGCCAGCTATTCATGAAACTTTAGGGCAGGGAAGGAATTCCATAAATAGAAATATAGATTTTCTGGTCCCAGCCAAAACTATTGGACCAGAGTCTCTGGGGGCAGGCCTGGCAAGCTGTGCTTTACCAAGTCTACCAGGTGACTTTCATACATGTTAAAATGTGAGAATCACTGATAAATGCAAAAAAAAAGAGAAGAAGAAAGAAAAGGAAAGGAAAGGAGAGGTAAAAGAGACCAGAAAATAAAATGATGCAATAGACTCCATTCATAATGTTTCTCTGAGCTCTGGTTCTCAGATCTAATCACTCACACCTGACTCCCAGGAGTGTTTTACCTGTAATGTTCTTCAGGCAGTGCCAGCCTTTACACCAGGGCAGTCACCCCGGATTCTTCCCCGTGCTCAGGGCACTGATGGCAGGGACAAGCCTTGGGCCCAAAGA